CAAAGCAGCCCAGTGCAAGTTCCATGAGCATGCTATGAAGTTTATGGGCATATGAAAAAAAATTATGGACTGATATTCCCCAGAGACAGCAGGGAATATGCAGCACTGCCTGCAGTGCAGGTCAGTACCTGTATACTGGACTGCCTCAAATCAAAGATGCCCTGTTTTCTAAACATTTCATGCAAATCTGTTATCTGCCAGGGTCTGCGTTACGCTGCAGTGACAGCCTTTTTCTGTTCACATAACTATGACCTCCACTGAGCAAAGAGAAGGTTCATATGTGACCACCATCTCAGACTTTTGCAAAGTTCAAGAGATCACACAGAGCAAAGCTGTGGATGACACCTGTGATGGGAGCGTGTGACTGGTGACATAGCACACCAGCTCTGAATTTCCCCACCTCTACATGCTTTCCAAACAACTTGTCTAGGGTGGGTTGTCCAAACTTCAGAAGATGATGGCTACATTCTTGAACACTAGGATGGCAGTGTGGAGACATTGTAGGTAAATTAATGCCAGGTACTTGGCATAGTTTGTTGAAGATGGCCCATTGCATGTGGATGTTCTGTACTTACTACTGATTGTAGCAGAGTAGAGGAAAAGGAGGTGTTACGGCCTTTCTCCTCCAGAAATGGCATTTCTGCATGATAGAGACTGCAGGGTTGGGGTTATGACCCTGTCTGCCATGAAGGATTGTCTGCAGCCACTGCCAATGAAAAAAAACCTGCTCAAGCTTCTGGTGCATGTTGTGCATAACCTCTTGTAGTATATAATATGCTGGGTGATAGATGCTAAGTGGTTGGTCAGCTTGGTCAAAGCTTATGGTCTAAGAAAGTGCTGCTGTGGGAAGGTGCAAAAGCCAGACATCTGGTTTGGCCCTTGCTAAGTGTGTGAGGGAAAATTAATATTCTGTTAGCAAATGAGGGCCAGCAGTGTGGATTCAGTTCGGCATGAGTGACTTGGTTTGACAAATTCAAAACCAAAGTCAGTCTGGCTGTCAAAGATTATAGAGATACAGTCTAAAAAATTACCTGCTTCTTGAGAGGTTTCTGGTGGTAAGAAGTTCCTCTCTTCAAGCTTTCCCTCAGTTCGGTGTAGAACTGGGGATTTTAGATCATCACTGGCAGTGATAAGCACAGTACTGACTTTTCTGGACCAACCTAATAATTTTAACTTTTCAGTATGCCATTGGCCTGGACAGTGTTTTCTTGCAGACATTTTTTTTCATTTTTATTCTTCATAGAAACATTATATCTTGAAGAGTACGGGCTAGGTGGTAAAATGTGTGTTATTGTATCTGAATAGGTGCCCAGGGCACATAATCATTCAATACAGCAAGCTAGAATTAGAAGTGAAATACAAAAATGTATTTCCTCTGTGAAGTAGAGAAAGAAGTTGCATTTCTTTATGTCTGGTACAGAGAAGAGTGAATCCTCTCTTGCCTTTCCCCTCATAGTCCTTCTGTAAGCAGAAGATGAAGAGGTCCAGCCAGCAATGCTGTGAATAGTTTGATGTCATAGCTCTTTCTCAGTAATGTGCATTGCAGAATAAAGGACAAACTACACTGACCTAAATATTGCAGGGTAGCTCACATTGGTTCATCTGATTCAAGTTATGTCAAGTTAAATGAAATCCTCAGCTTCTCTTAATCCCCAGGACACTGGGGCAATGCTGTACTTTCACAAGAAGTGAACTGAACTGTAACCCAGACAAACTCTGTAATAATAACTCCAAAAGAATGTATTGAATATCTTGCTGTGTTCCAGTATCATAGGTCAAAAATACAACTGAGTGCTAATTATGCTGTTTAGTGCAACTGTTTCAAAAGTCTATTTGTAACCTTTTTTATTAGTTTCACATTTTCTTATGCTATTAGCAGCCCATTTTCTGCTCCCTTCCCTCCCTATTTGACATTTCAGAATGAATAACGAAGCAGTTTTTTAAGTGCATATGCATTTCCTCAAGGAAATCAGGGCTTGAGCACACACGTTGGTCTTTGCATGCATGCCGATGAAGCATGCATAAAAATATGTCTGCCTTTGCTTGCATACATGCCAAAGTCTGACCTTCCATGCTTTGAACTCTTGCTCCAAAATGCAAATACCTAATTCAAGAGGACTGAAGCAGAATAGCGTTGAGTATAACTTCTGGGTACATGGTTCCCATAGCAAACTACGCAGACTTGAATGACATTTCTAAACTGTCCATGTACCAGGAGATGTGGGTTCCTCAGCATGAGGATGAGGAAAATCAGTGCACCCAATGGCCAGGGCAGTCTGCACGGGCTGGCAGACAAGCACCAAGGACTGTGTTCTTTCTGGAGAACTTCTCAGCTAAAGTAGAAAACATTTACGTCCATGTGAATTTCAGATATGAAGGCGAAATAGGTGGGAAAAAACACTTTTGTGGGGCTCAAGAAAGACCCACGTATGTGCATGAAAAAAGCACCGTAATGAATCACCTTTCCAATGTAAGCCATTCTGGGTATGTGCCAAGGTGGAACCTGTGGAAAAGTACGTCAGGTTCAGGTACTGACAGATGAGATGGCAGCTAAGCAAATGTTTTGGGGATAAGCAGCCTTGAATATTGCTTAGGCCTAATTAAGTCTAATATGCCTCATTCATTTCTTTCTGGCCCAGATGCTGGTAATACACTCAAGGGATACTGTTGTGGTGCCAACCACAGTGTTGAATATAACTGAATTTATTTATTAAGAATAAAAATAAATGTTCAAAGGTAAAGGTGGTAGTAATCAAGTCATTTTGTGTCTCATTATATTGGGAAGAAACACAGCCCATCACGCCACAGAAGAAAGATGTTTAGGAGTCCAAATGTGTACACTACTGCTTATGTGCCTATGTGGTGGATTGACCCAGGCTGGACACCAGGTGCCCACCAGAGCCGCTCTGTCAATACCCCTCCTCAGCTGGACAAGGGAGAGAAAATATAACAAAAGGCTTGTGGGTCGAGATAAGGACAGGAAGAGATCACTCACCAATTACTGTCACAGACAAAACAGACCCGACGTGGGGAAAGAGTAGGACAATGAGAAATAAAACCAAATCTTAAAACACCTTCCCCCCACCCCTCCCATCTTCCCAGGCTTAACTTCACTCCTGATTTTCTCTACCTCCTCCCCGCCAGAGTGTCGCACGGATGGGGAATGGGGGTTGTGGTCAGTTCATCTCACTTTGTGTCTGCTGCTCCTTCCTCCTCATGGGGAGGACTCCTCACACTCTTCCTCTGCTCCAGGGTGGGGTCCCTCCCACAGGAGGCAGTCCTCCATGAACTTCTCCAATGTGAGTCCTTCCCATGGGCTGCAGTCCTTCATGAACTGCTCAGCATGGGTTCCTTCCATGGGTGCAATCCTTCAGGGACTGACTGCTCCAGCATGGACTCCTCTTGCCATGGGTCCACAGGTCCTGCCAGGAGCATGCTCCAGAGCAGGCTTCCCATGGGGTCACAGCCTCCTTCGGGCATTCATCTGCTCTTGCGTGGGGTCCTCCACGGACTTGGTGTCTGCAGAATTGTTTCTCTCACATACTCTCACTCCTCTCTTCTCTGGCGGCAGTTCTGCAGGTTTTTTTCCCCCTTCTTAAATACGTTATCCCAGAGGCCCTACCCCCATCGCTGATGGGCTGGCCCTTGGCCAGTGGCGGGTCCATCTTGGAGCCGGCTGGCATTGGCTCTATGGGACATGGGGCAAGCTTCTAGCAGCTTCTCACAGAAGCCACCCCTGTAGCCCCCTGCTACCAAAACCTTGCCATGCAAACCCAGTACAGCATATTTGTTTTCCCTTCCTACACAGACACAGCCAAGGCTGATCTATAAAAAGAAATGCCTACAGACTGGTAGCCTGTGACTACTGATGTACTGATTTTTCTTTTACTCTTCTGAGCATTTGTCCCATTTGGAAGTGTCATGGGAAATATTCTTCACATTGTTTTACAGCCCTCAGTAGCTGAAGAAAATGAGACTTTATTGCTGTAGAAAAAAACTCCACCCTGCCACAATTATTTAGCTGTGTGCGTACATTCAGATGTTGATATGCCCCTATTATAGCACAGATTTACTGACAGCTATGGCTATTGGGAGAAGCCTTGCTCCCCCTCAAATTACCAGCTAAATTTGCCAGCTTCCACAGCTGGTTAGGAATTCAGTTCCTGGTTGGGAATTCAATCAGTCATCGCTGCCAACCCTGAAGGATATCACCAAAATGCTGCTGGAAATGATGCAGAGCTATTTTGACGGGATAGCTTAGAAAGATATTTTCTTAAATACCATATTGCAAAATTGTATGAATTAGCCAAATGGGTCTTCTGGAATTCTCATAGCATTCATATGCAGGCTTTATTACTTTTGTAATTCACTCTTCACTGACTTCTCAGAAATGCCATAAGAGGTGTTGAAAACTCGTACGAAGGACATCTTAGGAGACACAAAGCAAAATCTATCTACAACCACCAGCATTTACTAAAGATTAATTTAGTGCAATGAACATTTCTTTCACACACGTGTTTCTATATAAAAATTAGACTTCACAGTTAGTGTCCTATAGCTCCTACAGCTGAGAAAAGACTTTTCGAAGGTTCTAATGTCTTTGGCGCCTTAGAAAATGTTCTCTCAAATTGCTCATTTGAATTTGGCCTAGATCATACAGTCCTTGGTACGTTATTATCGTTTATTTTTTTCTTATTTTACTTGATTTGTTTGCATCTTCAGTGAGAAATATGGGATGAAGAACAAGAGTGATATACTCCAGCCTAATTTTGCAACATGCTTAGTACTAGCTACTAAATTTCTTTTTACTAAGGATACAGCTGACTGCTTTCCTATTTTGAATTAAATGATTTGTTTGTACACTTAATTTTCTTCAATCTCTTCATCAGCGGAAAAGTACTGATAAAGCACTAGCTGACCATTAGAAGACAGATAAAATAGCGTCATGCATCTTCATTACTACCGTATTCTCTCTGAACTATTTTTTTTTTCCCTTGCAGGACGGTTCTGTTTACTCTGACCTCCGTAGTTGTGCTTGTCATCACTACTGACTGGATCAGCTGGGACAAACTGAATCGTGGATTTCTGCCAAGTGACGAGGTCTCAAGAGCCTTCTTGGCTTCCTTCATCTTGGTGTTTGACCTTCTTATTGTCATGCAGGTACACTCTCCTAATGTTTCATTCAAGCTGCTGAGGCTGCCTAGTCATTCTATTTCCTCTATTGCAAATGGCGTTTAGCTAAGACTACATAAGGGTAAATAAATGTTTAGTTTGCAACCACTATTAGTAGAGGCATTTTATAACACCATTCTCAGTGACTTTGCAAAAAGCCCGCTGGCCTTTTATTGTGAAAACATTGCTGATTTCTCTTCTTAGACTACCAGGTAAGAACTGCATGACTTTCCAGATCAGAAGGTGTTTTCTGCAAAAATGAAATCAGAAAAAGAAACGGAAGCTAGTTGTTTTGTAAATTCAAAGCTTCTGTTAGGAAGATGAGAGAAATTCAGCCAAACAAGAAAGAAATACTTCTATATTTCAAGCATTTACAATATTAGGTATACACACATTGTAGTACTTTAATAGATGAAAATTAGTAATTGCTATTAAGATTCCACTTTCCACTTTCACATGAAGATTTCTTTACTTTGATGACAGGTCCTTGTACCGTAATGTCTTCCGCCAGCAAGGTTTACTGGGGAGATGATTCCCTCCATTCTGCCTGGTGTCTGCTCCTTTGAATCTAGCTGTTAAGAAAGGAATCTGGGTCACAAGTATGTGGCCAAAACCCTCCTTCATGTGATGCTGTGCTCTACCCTTTGCATTTGTCTGTGGTTTGAGCCTTGTGTGAATAACTCACCCAATGTTCTGTGAAGAATTAGGTCATTTGGGCTCAGGCAAGGAAAAGGAGCCTCAAAGGCCTGAGTGACTTTTGCTATTGGTCCTAGACATATTAGACCGTTGAACTGAAGTTTAGCAAAGAACTTGAGAAGAACTGATAGGTCCTTTCTCTCCGGTATATTACTAAGTAACTCTGCTAGCAAAGACCATTTATGAGACACTTAGTCCTCTTTAATGAGATATCTATTGCTTGAGTAATTATCATAGAGGTGACACTGTGGTGGCACTCAGAATTTATGACTGCTGTACTAGGACATAAAAGCTGCATAAAGTCCTGTAGTTCAGTTTTATTTTCCAATGTCCACCACTGTTCAGTGCTCACTGCGGTTCATGGTTAGAACAAGGAGGATAAGAAAGGGAATACTGTTTTTCTGGTAAGATTTCTAGTGCTTTCTTTTCTCTTCCTTTGCATTTTACATTTTGTTTCTTGTTTCAAAAAGATTCAAGAGAATGTATAATAAATGATTGTACTTCACAGGGCTGTAATGAAAGTGTGAATGAAAATTCACGATTTATCAAGCTATACAATTTGATATTGTATGCAGGGTAGAGAAACAGAGTTGTCTTCACACAAAATAATTATTAAATCATCCTTTCGACTTTGAAAAATGAAGTTCCAGTACTTTGACCTTGGAGTTGCTGAATATAGGGAAGAATTTTATGTGAAACAGCCTGTCCCAAGTACTAGTTCATATTTTTACAACACAAAGCAAGAGGTTCTTTTTAATTGCATTTTTGACTGATGTTTGTGTGATGGAGTGAGTTATTTATTTATTTAAAGTTATTTGGACTGTGCAACTAAGTTAGCATGTTTTATTTACAGTGTAGTTCTAGGATCATTGCATTGCTACTGCAATAAAGTCAAATTGAGACAATAAAGTGTTAAATCACAAGTGAATACCATCAGGATCATGATCCTTTGACTGAAGTATGCTTTAGAATTACATGTTTCTAGAAATTCTTTTTAATAGTGTCTCTTTCACAGATTTTTTTTCTAACTTATCAAGCTTTAGCAACAAACTGGTAAAATTAGAAAAAAAGAAAAAAAACACTTAGTATTAAGCAATTGCTGTTTGAGGCCGATGCTAACTAAGAGCACAGATGAAGTCTCATCTAATTTTTGAGAACAGTCACTTTCTGTCCCTCTGAATTGTAGCGTTGATACTGTGTTTAGCAGCAAGAGAAAACCAGTTGAGTTTGGAAACCCGTTCTCAATGCTGTGAAAAATAATCACATAATTGTAAAGGATGGCTTTGCCTTCTTAGTATTATTATAATTTAATATTTATCTAAGCCCTATGTAGAGCATAAGAAAGAAATAAAAGTCTGAGCGGTCCCTGCCCTGAAGAGCTACGTTTTTTTCAGTTAGACATAACCCAGGCAGACATGTGAAGTGGAGAACACAGACAGCTGAACCTTATACAGACAGTTATACATGAGTGATGCTAAAGGGTACGTGCACTTTTTAGCTTTCGTTTCCATCCTGCAACAAACCCTGGCTGCCTCCCAGCCCCACTCTCCTTCTAGTGTGCAAAGGCTCCTCCAGTCCGAGCAATTCACCAAATGTTCAGGGGACCGGTCAGGGAGAAAAGCACAGATGAGAGACAGAGTAGAAGACAGAGACTTGTGTCTGAAATGTAAATGTGGAAGTTATGACCGCAAATATATTAAGACAATCTGAGAATCATGGAGAAGGCTGCAGGACTACAACAGGACTTCATGGATAGTGTGGCTGGCTTCTGGCTCAGGCTGTGTTCCTACATCTTCTGCCAGCCTTGCTGTAGCATATCACCACATCCACCCTCCTTGAAGTGAAGAAAAGGGACCCTGAGTGCCTGTTTTAGATGGCTGTTGTGTATACATCTCCACCTGATTTTAATCACTGTGTCTTTATAATCAATGGAGAGATCGAGGTACAGTTGGGTTGCTTTTAAACATCTACAGTTGGATGAGATGCAGCAGGACTTAGAGGTGCACATTTCTCTCCATGGAGAATGAACAGACCCAACATGACGAGCTGAGAGGAACCATCCCTTAACCCAGACTCAAAAGAAATGTTATGAGGGTGGCACGGCTCGAGTCCAGAGCTGCAGCTCTGCAAGGATCCTGCTCAGCTATTTCCACAGCTCGTCAAAGGGCCAAAGTACTATTTCTCTGCTAGTGTTTTATCAATGAGGCTTCTTTAGCACATGCCTGACTCTTGCAGGCAGGGTGATCTCCACTTCTCCCACTGCTGCCTGGCCACGATTTGCATGGAATTTAAGTTTCAGTGGGTCTAGGACAGCGTATCAGAGACAATACCCACTATAGGCTGTTTGAGTCTGTTCCAGTCCTGGTTGTCAGGACATTTTATCCAATGTAAATACAAACACTGGTTTTTTCAAGTATAGAGATTGCATATTTTCTTACTGGAAAACAACAGATCAAATTCAGTCCAATGCAGGTGAGCATTCGTTCATTTTAAAGGACATGTGCTTGCTTATAGTAAGAAAGTAAAAACTCTATAAGTTTGTTATTTTTTCCACAGTATGGAAGTGATGAAGTTAGTAATTTTCACAATGTGTTTGATTACGCATGCCCTGATAATTGAGATGGGCCAACATATGTATATTTCTGGCACCTATAGCATTCACTGCTGTACATGGGCATCATTATATTTTTAGCCTTAGTTTCAGACTGAGTGCAAGACCACACTTATTAAAGCTGGATATGTAGCAATGCTATTATCATGTAATAGAACTTTTTACTATTTTAATGAAAAATTCACGTATTTAGTTCTCTTTCTCAAAGACGTAATGGAAAAGCTGTTAATTAAAGGCCTAAGTCTGAAAAATGAAACTATAATCCCACATTCCGAATACCTCTATTAGAGCAAGTAGACAGTAACTCATGCATTAGCCTATATACTGCCTTTTTTTTTTTTTCCTGGTGTCATGTTCTTAGTGACTTTGCTAATGGGTAGGAGCCTGTGGTGGCTGGATTATTAAACCTCATGTATCCAGGGGAGATGAATTGTTTCATCTCTGTAGTGTCTTTTGTGAGCGTTTACAGGTTTCTCCAGACTTCTGAAAGACAGTGGAGTATTTCAGCATCACAGTGGAGTTACACGCTGTAGCTACCTTGCTGAGCACTTTGCAAGTCCCACGGTGTAGATTCTTGCAACTCTTATGACTTACTGCAACTTTTTATCTGACAGTACAATCAGATACAATATCTGAGTGATTTAAAAGCTACCTGAAAACAGTGTTTGATTCCAAAAGAAGAATTTATTCTTCAATAAACCAAAGAAATTCTGTATTGGATGAGTGGAATAAACAGAAGCCAGGAAGCACTTATGTCTAAGATTCTTTGAGAAAGCTCTTATATGTGCATCTTTAACCAAACTAGCAAAATAATCCCACTAATACCAAATGGGAATACTCTTATAAAAAAAGCGAGTAGAATTTTGTCCTTCTGGGTAACTTGAAAGAAATGAAGGTCAAAGAGAGTTCGATAATTAACAACATTCCTTATGACTAGTGCTGGTTCTCTGCTTATGTAGGTGTAACGATATCAGCAGACAGATTTTTTTTTAATAATAACCATTTTTAAAATGTATTTTTTGTAATATTTTTGTATGTAAATTGCTTTAATACGTAACTGTAGATCACTCCTTGCTACTGCAGTTGAAAATCAACATATTTAATGGGTGGCCTGTCACTTCTTTTTTTGTTTTGTTTTCTGCAGAATGTCTGGTCCTCTGTCTTTGGTAGAGTTTTAATAAGAGAATTAGAAGGTTAACAGATTGAAGATAATCTGTATTTAGACTCTCCTGTGTTTTTTCTTCTAGTTTTTCATAATTCCCAGAAAAAAAGTAGTTAATTTAGCTACTTTGCAATGTTAATTATGTTTTGTATATGTCATTGTTAAACAGTAACACAGAAACATTATCAGCAACATGGAAGACTCTGGTCTTGTTAACAAATACTTAAAGTGGGGACAGTTCCATTTATTTTCAATTTTACACTGATGGAGTGGCTGTTTTGATTAAATCTAGTGCGATGTGTGAGCACATAAAAAAACACCACCCACAACATCAAGTGCGTAGAAGAAGATATAATTTGCTTGAATACTTAAAGATAGAGTAGAAGTACAGTCTTGTCCACGCAAAGTGGGTAAAGACTTGATTTTTAGAGGTTTGGGGGTTTTTTTAGAAAATCTATTTAACTTTGCAAACATAATTTGATTGTGACTTTTAACTGGATTTACACTCTCTAATTTGAT